CACAATGGCAGTGGACGTTTCCGCTTTGTAATGTTCTGAAGAAAAATTCAAAACGTAAAAGTTTTTTTTTTTCTCTTTCAAAAACCAATTTTCTTTTGCTCACTCACTCTTTCACTTTTTCCGTTGTCTTCAACCTTTGAATATTAAATAATTGTATTTTGATTAGAAAAATAAGAAACATGCACCTATCTGCAAACAACCGAAACAAAAACGGATCGCATGAAAAACGGTTGAATCGGTTTTCGTGTCGCATTGTGGAAAAAAAGTAATTGTTTAAATTTCAAATCCAGTATACCACAACAATCAGCCTAAATATATATATTTATATTTAAAGAGCAAATAAAAAGAAAATGAAAAATAAAATTTCATCGAAATGATACAACTCTCACTGGCTTCGACTAAAATAATAAATATTCAGAAAACACGCACTCACACGTTCGTTATACGACGAAAAAAAATCTGTTGACAAAACGAATTCACTTGATCGCACGGATTCAAATACATTTGCTGAAAAGGGAATCCCGAACGCACAGGCAAAAAGTTTTGAATAAAACGAACACAAAACAAAAATGATAAAAAGCCGAATGACAAAAAAAAAGACACGCACAGCGGACAGAATGAATGGAAAAACGATACTGCTTCGACACTCGACTCACAACGCACTGAACTGGCCTCAGTCACAATGATAAAAATGATAAATATTATGTTGTTAAGTTGAAAATCATGTATGCAAAAAATATGATGTTGTCGTATTATTTGCTGTTGTCTTCGCTCTCTGTCGTCGTCGTCGTCTTCATCGTCGTTTCAGAGATAATACGCAAGCGAAGTTGAGTTTGCTATATTGAGCAATCCGACAACTTCACGAGTCACACACAGAATATGCGACCGATGACGATGTCGACAACGGTATACACTGTGCATACGGTCGTGCTTGTCTCTTGCTCTCCTCATACACATAAGCTCTAAGGATCACAGTGTATGTTTTCAAAAACAGCGTGTGCCGTATTTTGGCTGGTTGCCACTGTTGCTTCCGTCGCTGCCACCGCTTCTGTTACTGTTATTGTATATATTGAAGTATATGGTAAATGATATATGAATTTGATGGATGTGCTTGTATGATGTGCCACATCAATCCATTTCGAATGAAAATGGTATTGCGCTCTCCCAAAGATGATATGCGAGAAAGTTGATGGTGAAGTTCCCCGCGCGCACACATACCACATTTTGTACAACATCAAAAGTCAACGTGTTGTGACAAGGAGAGAGAGAGGTAGGAGAGCGTGTGACAGAAAATTAAGAGGAGCACTGATACACACACAATGGCGAAATGAAAGAAAAAAATCGGGAAATTCGACAAACTGGAGAGAAAGACAGAAGGAGATCACGGGAATGAGAGACGGTCCCGAAATGAGCGATTGCATTTGTACGAAAGACGCCGACCAATTGACAAGGTGAACGTATTTTTAACGAATTGTACAAATACCGACGGAGACGACGACACCAAATAATATATACATAGATTTTTTTGTTGTTGGTTTAAAATAAAAAAAAATAACAACGATGGTACGCATGTTTACCGAAAAGGAATCAACCTATTTACGAATTCAAAACCAACAGTTATTTCACCTTTGTAAACGGTATTTGTCGAGGGGATACACAGCTCAAAAGAAAGTGAAAAGTAACGACAACGAAAAAAAAAGTATAGAGACAATGGAATCCGGTGTATAAATTGAAATGTACACATCGGTATCCTTTGACGAATGCGACACACCGAAATGAATTTCAATTTCAAGTTCAATTTTTCTTTTATTCACATTCCACGTTTCCATACATTCTTTTTGTCTCGAATTCTACTAACAATTTTCTCTATTTACATAACCATTTGGAGTCTGTTGTTAGGATCGCTTTTATTCACGTTTATTGAACAATTTGTGATGTGCATTAATTAATTCGATACATTCATAAAGCATGTTTAAATTGCAAACGTAATTGCATTTGATTTCAATTGCTGTACAAATAAAAATATTTTCGATTTGAATGCTTCATATTATGCAAATTGAAAACAATAGCTCATAGTATAAAATATTCGAAAAATTCATTTCGCACGAACAAACGAAATAAATTTTGTTCGATGCTACCTCTATAGAGCTATAGCTCATACCGTAAAAACCATAGCAAATAACATTAGATGTTTGCTTTTGTTTGATACGTATTTTCATTTATTCATTGCTGCTCATTTTGATTCGGAGAATTGACAAATGTCTGAAACCACCAAAACTGAAAAGAATTGCCGACCATTTCGGATTTATGTAAAAGCGGAACAAAATTTGATGCTTGTTGATGTGAATCTTTTCAAATCAAGTTGTTTAAGAATCGTTGGTTTAGTTTGAATGTGGCTCATTTTAACGGGCATAGGTAATTTAACGCGTACAATTAGTGTGGTCGGGATTGAAATTGAAAAGACGTTTCGATTGTTTGGTTCAAACGAATACATTTCTCTTACTGAAGGGACGAAAAAGCTATAATCCATTCCAAAAGTGGCGTCAAACGTTCTGAAGTTCAAGTTTTAAGTGGCAGGGGTTAATTTGTGAAAATAAATAGGAGGTAATCTGAAAAAAGCTTAATTGAAGAACAAAAATGTATGATATTCTTTGAAAATGTGCACATAGATATACGTAAATGGCAAAAAGTCAATTTATACTGAAGGGGCTTCACATAAAAGCATTAAGTCTATATGGTTAAAATGAATGGTTTTCATGGCAATACCATCAATTATCTATTTTAAAAGAAAAACCAGTACAAAAACTAAAAAGATATTTTCTTCACACTGTGCATGCGTACGCTATACCATCAGCTTAGTATGTAGAATATGAGACGGAGACTATTTCACGTTAGACCGTACCGGGCCGACTCTCTTCGGTCCTATCATTTTGTGCGTAATCATTTTATTTCATCATTCTCATAAATCATAAAGCATATTGTTCGATGTGAATGTGAGCGAATGTGTGTTGTGCTAAGCAAGGTTTATTGATACTCGATATGAAGCATCGGAAAATTACTAAATTGACATTTCAAATTAATTCGTAGCAATTTGAAAAATGATTGTAGCTGTTGTGGCTGTACATGTATATTTGTGTTTTTATTTTCGCCTTCATTTTTGCAGCAAGTGCCTCGCTGTCATTTTATAGACGTGCCATCATATAATAGATTCATTGAAACAATGAATTGAATTGTACATAGTCTGCTATTGGCAAGCACAAAGCGAAATAAAACGCTACCTTCTTGCTCTTGTATCGCATGACACTTAACTGTAGTAGTTTTTCTGTATGTACGTATGGATCCAGCCGCCGGGTCGCAGTTTTTGCCGCTTAATTATTATCATTATTATTGAGTTAGCATATTATTTCATTTCGTCAACTGCTCTATGTGCTCTATGTCCTCTTTTTCGGCATAAGTGAGGGTGTAATTTCGGCTCCTTAATATCGTGTCAATTTTAGTGTGATTGAGAGAGTTTCTCTTTGAACGAACGAGGTACCGGTGTCGAATGATAAAGTAACACGTTGCCGACTTGAATTGATCAAATATGCATCTATTATTTGTCTCAACCGTTGTGAAAGTTCATTTACAAAGTTCTCTGGTCAAATATAGATAGGCAATGCTTGTGTTTTTGAGGTTTTGCTGTATCCTTTTGAGTTGATTTTCAAGTGCCAATCTGCAATGTGAAAATACACACGCTGCACAAAATAATAATAATAACCACTAATTGCTGTGACAACTTTTCCATTATCGATTTGTAATTAAGTGCAAAATACATAAAACGCAATTGGGTCACTTGGTGTTCAAAGCAAAACGAAAAAGCAACAAGGAAAGAGAAAATACTCGCGATGACACCAACAACCGCTTATGATGATGATGACGATGATGATGATGATGATGTTGACGGCAGAAGGTGACAACACTTCTTTGTCCAAAATTTACAAAAATCGAATTTTTCAAACTCAATCATATTCCAATAATATATGACAATCACGATAATTATTCACTTGTAATTACATGCTTATCAAATGACATCAAAGTAATGATTCTATTTATAAATCGTCTTTTTCAATCTACCGTCATTGGGTAGACTTTTTTACTTGATTCAAACAACACATTCACGTCGAATTAAATCAATGGCAGTGAACTTTCTCTTGATATGCTAAAACTCAATGCAATCAATCAATGTGACTCACTGTCCAACGTTCATTGGATTGACCTAGTCACATGATCTATTGATAAAAACTAGAAGAACAAAAGAGACGAGTTTATCGATATGAAACAAAAAATGCAAAATTCTACGAAAATATTATAATATACTACTACATTAAAATTAAAAATGATATTTATTGCCAAGCACATTGAGCTATTTTAGGCTTCCTGATTCAGCTGCTAAGGTCCATTTGATAATTTATAAATGAGAGTCTGAAAACCAAAACAAATTATAAAAATTATTTTCGGAAAAAGAGCATAAGAACTTATTCAGCACAAAACGAGAATATAGAGAACTGAGAGTTAAAACAACACATAGAATACTGAGAGCAAAAGTAGCA